ACTCAGCCTGTGGCTTGCGTTTCTTGCCTTTGAACACCACAACTTGGAAGCGACGACGGCGCTATCCTCTAATCCTCTGTGGTGGCTGCCTTGGTGCCTGCCACGCCGCTTGGCCCAAGCTCCCTTCGCACCTGCTTCGCCCTCATCCAGTGCTCCAATGTAACACATCGTCCAACAATCGACACCATCAATCGACGCTTTCTTTTGAAGCCTTGGGGTCATGCTCACACTCACCTGCAAGCACTAGCAGCACTTGGGGACACGTCTCCCTGCGGCCAACAGATAGATCATCCCTTCCTTTTTCTTTCAAGACATCATCCATGTCGCGATCTTGCGTATTCCTAGCATGACGGCTATTGTCTTGGGTGATTCGACTCCTCTGGGCCACCGCCGCCATTGTCATCTGCAGCCACTTCTGGGGGCCCTGTAGGGCTTTGTTCTCGCCTATGCCGAAGCCTCGTGGCATCTTCTCATCCGTCTCGTCACAGGTGAAGTTGGTCGGCTGAGAGAGAGAGAGAGAGAGAGAGAGAGAGAGAGAGAGAGAAAGAGAGAGACAGAAAGAGAGTCCGCAGCAGGCACCTGGATATGAGCAGACAACCGACGACGATAAAAGTGACGACAGTCCTCCGCAATTACCACCGAGACAAGCAAAGCAAAGCAACTAACGTCTGCTTCATGACTCGACCAGTTACCAACGGCCCGCCGCCAGCTCCGACAACGACTCTCCTCGATAGCGTTGTGCCTGGCGTGGATCATCTCTCTGCACCTAAACCCCTCCCCGTCTTTGTCCAAGTAGCCGAATACCCCTGTCGGCAGCCACGAATGGGGGGTTTGCATATGCTACGTCTGGGCTAATTGTCCCCGTCATCCAGCCCACCTCCGGCATGGCAATGCACGGCAGCACCCAATTGATGGGATGCGGCCGATCCGCTGAGCGATCTAGCAAAAGTATGACAGGCAATTGGGTGGATTGTTCGCAAGGGTCTTCGAAGGGGGAGAGCCCAGTTCAACGCCATCCGCCCGACTCTGTCAAACCTCTGCCGCTACCCGCCGAAACCTATCTATCATTTCCAACACGACAAGGACACGAGCGCCCTCCTCATCTACTTGCGAACAGCCAGTGGCGAGCAAGCGCGGCGTTCGCGTACTGAGTATGAATGTGCGACCGTGCGACCAACCGTTCGACTAGAACCGGGACGGGACGTCAGAGATACACTACTGGTCTCTCCCGAAGGCCGAGCGCTCGGCAAGCACCTCCCTTTACACTAGTGTTGGGCCACCTACGCCGTCATCACCAAGCCTCTCTCCCTTCTGCCTCGCCTCTTAATTTCTTCGAGTTAGACAGCCCTCATTCAGGAAGACCACCACGGCAGCGGCATGAGGTACCCTCTCAGCGCCTCTCTGACATGGAGTATGGCTCCGCTCGTTCAGCGGTTTTATCCCTCTTCCCCGCCTAGCCGCTTGCCCACCGCCTCGCATGTGTCAGAAGGGACCTCAACAGCCGAGTGTTACCCACGATCTGATTCCATCATTGGTGACATCCATGACTTACTCCTCTTCTGCGCAGCACACCTGCGACTGGGAATGCGCTAATCTCGACTTCTTTTGAGTTTGCAGCGGAGGAGACCAAGCTGGACTCGAGCCTTGGCTTCTTGGAGGGTCGACACCCTGATCACGGACCATATTTTTTCTTCTTCTATCCTCTCACATCTTGATCCGAGCGTCCGCAGTTGGGGTTTTCGAAGTCAGCGCTCCATCTCCCCTGACCAGGGTGTCAGGATCACCCTTATCTCGCCATCGGAAGCTCTCCACTTTGACCCCCTTGACCTTCGGCTCTGGTGGAGTGGCGGAGCGGCAGCCCTCGAGAAACTGGAGTTGGCTTGTGTCTGTCTACGAATCTCTTGTCTTGAAGAGCTACACACAGGATCAGCTGTGAGGATACTCTGAGTCGGTAAGGGAAGCAAGAGGACCACACCACCCACCCACCCACTCTTCTCTTGACGAGGGGGGATCATGTCTCGCCCTAGACATCAACAGTTCTTTTTCGTCGAGTGCGTCCGAAAGAAATCCGTGTGGTATCACTGCAGACGCGGCTTTCCTTGCACAAGCTCAGTCTCGTCCCAGTCGTCCCAGTCCCCCGACATTTTTGCCTCCGCTCTGCGCTCCACAGCAAGCCCGTCTTCCTCATCCCTCGTCCCCTCGTGCGCCTTCATGTTATCGTCCTCGTGGCGTGGACTTGACCCCGGCCAGCTGCCCTCCGTATAATACACAGGTCACAGCCTGTCGTCGCCAGCCCTGGCTCGCAGCTCTCTTGCTTTCACATCTCTTGTCCAATGGCACCATCATCAACCCATGTGGCCTGCACCCCATGTTCGCTCTAGACGTCGCAGCGAGCAGCTCCCCTGCCCAGGCCCCACGCTCGGCCGATGCCCTTGCAAATATGGGCAAGGCGACGAGCACTATCCTCTCCCCGGTTTAAAAGAGATTCATCCCCTACCATCCCGCGCAGGCGATCCGTCCGGAGCATGAAAAACCTCCTGCCATGACATTGCATACCAACTGTTACGCCTTTTCGGCCCAGGCCCAACCACTCTTCTTACGTGGCGGCATGGCCCAACTCGACGTCGACGGCGAACTCAACATGGACGCTTGTAACTTTCCCGAGTTGCTGGCAAACGACCTCGAGTTCTCCAACCTGATCTTCGCCGCCAAGAATCTGTCCGCCGGCGCCCCTTCCCCTGCCCTTGGATCCGATGAAGGGCAATGGCAGTCCTCAGCGGCCCTAGCCAGCGCTGCCCCGCAACAGCACTCTGCGGTACGATTCCAGTCGACTGAACCGAAGACGGAAGAGAAGACGCAGTTCCGGGCGACGCAGCACGAACTATCGGACTCCGAATCCATCTCGAGCGGCCCTTCATTCAGCGAAGTCGAGCCTGCATCCTCAAGGCAACTGTCAGTCATCACCGCTGCCACGTCTGTCACGGGCGGTCGAAACTCTGTGGCTTCCCACAAACGCCTCTCGTCGCTTGGCCACAACACCGACGCCAGCTGGATAGACTTGGAGCCCGACATGACTGCCGAGGACGATGGCGCGAGCATCGATGGGGTCACTGTGCCAAGGCGCCTGCGACCATCTTCAGACATTGACGAGGGTCATCGAGGCGACAGTCCTGTACGGGCGGTGACAGCGAACGCTGCGCTACGAGCTGCTCCGAGCCTATTTGAAGGCTTGCCTAGATCTAGCACCCGAACCTGGAGCTTGCAAATGCAGACAATACCATCGACCCATGCTGAGCGACGCCGTTCGCTCAATCATGTTGAGATGTCCATACCGCAGCGGAGATCTTCGCTCTATGCCGACACAACAGCCAACTCAAAGAACTTCAGCTTTCTGGCGACGCCAGACTTGTCGTCCCGAGCCTCATTCGAGGCGCCTGCCACAGGCGTCCTCCATCAAGGTCCCGCATCGGCCCAAGCAGAGGCAACGAGCCCAGCTCTTGATGACCTCAATGACGACATAGAACCGTGGTTCCGGTATGTAGACCAACAGCATGTCTCCTCCGCCGAAAGAAGAAGAACAGTCCATGCCTCGAAACGGCAATCTCACACGCTGCCAACTCCACCGCTGGATGAGGTGCAATCCTGGCTCGACAGCTCACTGGACGCCTCACAGCTGGAAGACGGACACCGCATGCCACTACCGCCAGATGTGGTCGAGACGTTACGGGTCTCCCTCGCTTGCTTCCCAGAAACGATGTTGCTGTGTTCGAGCCTATCTACCGAGACCATTCGCAGCTATGCAAAGAAGGTGAAGCACCCCGCCAATGAACCAGCCAGCCTACACACTCCGCCCCCGTCGCCGAAGAGATGGAAATGGTCGAATGTCCTGGGTCAGCGACGGAGTGTCTCCTCGTTGAAACGCGACTCAATCTCACAACGGCATTCCACGGAGCTCAATACATGCACCGAAGCTTCAACAACGACGGCGTGTTCGTCATCACAGCCACCATGGTTACGCCTTCGCAACATTTTCCCTGACGGCTCTGATTATCTGCTGGACGCGTTGTACGCCCACTTGGTTGCATATAGCTACGTATCTGGTCTGGTACCCCGCTCAAATGCCAAGCACTCGAACCGCGTGGACCGGATGCCTTCGACTCCAGATCATGAGCGCCATTCGACCGAGTCCTTGAAGAGTAAGGATTCGAACTCGAATGACATTCCGAAGAAGGCGGCGCATCTTCTCGGGCTACAAGATGCTGCCACGCCACCTTCTCCCCATTCACCACAAGCCCAACGACTTCGCAAGAAGTCGAGCATTCTGGATACACTGCGTGGCTCTCGTTCACCGCTGTCGACGCAATCGCCATCCATCGATAGTCGGCCTATGAAAGATATTCAAGTCGGGTTGGCTCGTTGCATAGGTCGGCTCGTAACGACGCTGCGTGTTAGTCCTGGTGAGGGTGCCGAGGACGAGACCTTACTCTTGGCGGGTGAGGAGTCCAAGCTTGGAAACATCGACCCCTTGCTTGTGCGATCGTTGTGCGAAATTGTACGCTGTTGTGAGGAGACGGCACAAGCCTAGTCTTCATCCTCAACGACAGCGATCTGGAACATCAATTCCTTCTCTTCTTCTTCTTTTTGTCTTTCTTACGTCCTCTCTGATAGGACAGATATTGTAAGGTTTGGGCGCGGATGACGGTGTTTATACCCTTGCACAAAGCCGCGAATCGCGAGCCGGAGTTTTTGTGGTTGACTCTACCCCGGGAGGGTTTCGCCGGATCACGTCGCCGGCGGCACGGCTTGATGGACTCTGTACGATATTCATAATGACCGTTCTAAATTGACTGGTACGATACCACTTGTGCTTTCTTCCGTCTCTAACATGCCTTTTGCTCTGTTATCGTGGGACTTTTCCTCTACTGGCCAAAGATATCCCACCTTGACAACGTTGGCTTGGCATGGTCCCGAAGCTGTGATTCGCAATCACGGAGCACGACCGATTCAGAGAGTGGTAAATTAACCCCAGGTTTCAGACTCTGGCGATGCTCATCACGAGTCGTCACCTCGCTGCACCCTCACCCCAGCAGCCCACCTTGATTCTTCAGCCCTGTCCCAAATGGAATAATAGAATGGGAAGAGTCAAGGGATGATGCCTGGCAGAGCAGCAGCGTGGCAATGTGTCGTCATTCGCGATCTGGACCACATCAGGCGTGTGGGTGGCCTCGTCGCTCCTTTTCCCCTTCCACACCCCGGTAGTGGCGACCAGGATAGCAAAAAAAAAAGCCATTGCTGAGTTCCGGTTCCCGGTGCTTGCACATTTGACGATGGTCTTTTATGCACCAAACCCTGCCTGGTGCTGCACAAACGGCCTTCCTCGACGAGGGCACAGCGCAAAGGCACACTGTTGACGCGCCAAGTACAGGATTGCGATCATGTCGTTCTCATTTCCCACCTCGCTCACGATCAGCAGCCGCTGGGTCGAGGTATCAGGGAGGAAGGTCCATTGCGAATAAGTAGGCCAACGCACAGACGAGGCGCAGAACACCAGGCGGGCGGGGATATACAGAATGCGAGCAAAGGCACAGCACACATGGCCCAATCCAGCCCGGTTGACGCGGCGGTTCGACGCGCTGCAGAATCGCCGCACGGGCGCGCGTTGTCCATCTGTTTCCTGGTCCCCCCTTTTTTTTCGGTCGTTCAAGTCGAGTCTGACGAAACGACGTTTAAGCCGCATGGAGAAGGCTGCTCGTCGATCATGGTCCGATCCCCT